GTTTACTGTACTGAAAGGTGACTCAAACATGTGGCTTAATTTTGTATTCAGCTCTATTTTTCTGTGTGCAACTGAGTAACTCGGGAGAGCCTGTAGCTCCCTTGTGTAGTTACGAGGTGGGGACACACTCTGCAAGAGGACTGACCCCCTTATAATCAGGAAGCAGTCAAATGAAATATTACTGAAAGACGGGGCCATTCTTACCCGCTTTGAGGAGAGCACTGGCTTTTCTCTAGGCTGTTTGTAAGACTTATTTAAATTCCCCAAAATGTTCCAGAGTGCCTTGTTTTTTAAAAAAAATTTCCTGCAGAAGGTGAGGAGGATTTTGGAACAGGAGCGTTGACTGCCTATTCCCCTGCACAGCCTCTATGCTGAAAGGGACTGTGTTTTCTCACTCATGCTGTGAACGTGGCCACCAGATGTGGGCAGGTCCAGCAAAGATCATTGCTGTAGACTAGCACGCCTTGGTGCAACACCCTATTGTCTTTATCTGGACTTTACGCGTTGCTGGAGGAGGTATGACTTCCAATTACCTTGCTGGGAATTTTTACCAAGTAACGACCTCAGCGTGCACCTCTGGAGTGAATTCAGGATCTGGGTCTAGGGAGGAATGACCGCTATACCATGTGGTACAGGACCTGTGGATCCAAAGTTCATCCCACTGCTAGGAAGTTGTTTGTTTTTGAGTGCTGGTGACATGAGTTACATCGTATTGTAGGAAATTAATGTGAAAAAAAATACCCTCTATGTGTGATTATGTAGGAGGGGAAAATGATAACGAGTTTAAACAAAACTGGTTTCAATAACTCACCCTCACTCTCTTCTCAGTTTTTGTACTCATACTCAGAAGAGCCAGAGGTGTGTGTTGAGGCCCTCCTGCTGGGATTTCTTGTGGTGACTTGGAGGAGAGGGACACAAGCTACCATGTTCTCTTGTCTCTTAGGTCCTTCTTTAGAGGTGATGAGGAACTGCTTTTTAGATAGACCTTTTGTACCCTTTACGAGTCGATAGTCTTTATGCCTCAGACTTTTGTTCGCTCCATCTTTCACAAATCTTAGGCAAGGTTGCTGCCCCCCATCTCTGTGTCTTCATTTAGGGTGTCTCATGGCTATAGTCTATCTTCCTGTTGGGGTAAAAGGAAGATTAAAGGCACAGGCTGTGTGTTTCCACTCACACTTTGCTCAGACCAATCTTGATATTTCTGTTGCAAATAACTAAAGTATCATGACGCGATTAAAAAAAAATAATAGACACAGCATCCCTTTGTTCAATCCCAGTGTCCTGTTGGCAGGGATAGCACACCTGGGCCTGAAAGCACAAGTGTGCGACAAAGAATTTCACAATATTTTGGTCGGTATTTTTTCCCCTCCTGCCTTGGGAAGCTGGAACACCAGAACGTCCGTACCGTTCTGTGATTTCATCTGTGTTTTTGCAATAAAAACGTAACAGCAGAAATCTGGCAGCCTGGATCATGCATCTAGTTCAGCAGTTGCCAATAATGGCTGTTACTGAATATTAGATATTATTAAAAGGAAAATGTAAAATAGTGCTATGAAATAGCATATGTTGGCTGGTAGCAAATGCCTTCCTGATGTGTGGAAGCATGAGATTCAGTACAAGAGTTGCATGCTTTGAGAAAACTATTACAGCATTGCTGCCAGCTCAGTGTTCAGATTTCAAAAAAAAAAAAAAAAAAAGGATTTGAGGAACCCTTAGGGGAAAAGAGACAAAAATCACCCCAGTGTCTTCACAGGGAGAAACTGAAGCCAGGACTCACACACTTGAGCAGCAAAAGTCAACATACTCCCTCTTAACCAAGAGCACGTACCCGCCATAACTCAGTTTTACCGGCCAGCGTAACTCGTCGCACTCAGACCTGCTGCATGGTGAAGTCGGGATTGCTGTGGTGCAGTTTGGTATTCAGCTGGGAAATCCAGGGGGGTGACGCAGGCCCCGTTTTCTTCAGGGTGATGGCCCCTGCGCTGAGCAGGTTGAGGGGAAGCTGTGACAGCTCTCCTGTACTTCTTGAATAACAAGTGTATGAAGCTGGCGGTACCCTTGGCTGTGCCTCGGGGAGCCTCGTCCGCTGCTCGAGCTGAGACCTCGCTGGCGTCGCCGCAGGGATGCGTCCGCTGCGTTTCTGCGGCGGCGGAGTCATCCCTTTAAGAAGGGGCAGGTGAGCACGGTCCTGCAGCGGGAAGGCTGTGCAAACATATCCGTGGGCAGGGGAGCAGGGCGCACCTGCCAGGGCACCCTGCCTGCAGTGGGGAGGCACCAGACCTCATCCCCGGCAGCCGGACCCCAACCCCACAGCGTAGCCACTGCAAGAGAAAGAAAATAGCTCACCTGAAATAATATAGCCGGAAAGGAGGGAAGGCTGGTGCCAGAGATTTTTCTGAGGTAAGAAAGCTTTACTCAAACAAAAAACAAAAAAAAAAGATCAAATCGAGTGGAGGTGTCTGATCGTTTTTACGTTGTGTGCAGAAGCTCTGTGATTTCACTGACAAAATTCCCAGCTGGTCCCACGAGCAGCGTTGTATATGCTGTGCCTGCTGCCGACCCTCCTTCGTCGCCTGCCTTGCAGCCTCTTGCGTGGGGTCATCTCGTCTTGCTGCTGGGTCCCAGCAGTGGTTTCTCTGCTCTCTTCATCGGTCCCTTCAGATGGAGGACTGCTATTTTCCCTGCCAGCTGCAGCTTTGTTACTGCTGTTCTTTTGGCTCATGTAAATGGCATTGAATGTTTTCTGTGTGATTTACAAATAGTAAGAAACTCTGCCTTGTGACTCCCCAAAGAGGTGTGTTAGACAAGCTGGACAAACAGGGCTGCAAACGTTTGGGAAGAGCAAACTAGGCATTCACTGGGAATCATTGGGAGGCTTGTTAAAGTGTTGCACCTAAATCTCTGCCTTTCAGACATAAATGCTGTTGTAGAGAGTACAGTGCCAGGGACTGGCAGGTTCTTGTCTGGTTATGGATGAGTACATTTTGCCCCAATATCCCAGTCAGATGGGGAATGCAGGTGCCAGAACATAATTTCCAGTGTTATTTGGGGTGCTACAGCAGTTATCCTACCAGCTGCTGTTGGAGACCCATGTGGGTCTCCCATAGTTCCTGTCTGGCCTCACCAGGGATGTCCCGCACAGCAGTGGTGGAGACAGGCATTTCTGCCTGGTTTCTGGAAAAGCAGCAGCACTTACTGGCAGGGTGGCATGTGGCATAGAGCTGCTGCTGCTGAGGCACCCACTGGCTGCACAGCAGTGACACGATCCAGCACCTCTCAGCAAAATTTATCCACCTATCCCAGTGCTGGGCTTTCACAGTGCCGCAGCCCAAGGGCCCGCTGTGTGCTTCGGAGGAGAGCAGCTCTTTAGCAAGACCCGGCCATGACACGGCAACTCAGGGCAGGGTGTGTTTACAGGTCTCTGAGCATAAAGGAATGGTAAAGGGAGAAAAGTAGGTCCCCAGATTTCATTATTGCAAAGCCTTTAGTGATTCAGTCACATAGCATAGTCTCATGGGTTCTCACAGCTGCCGCTTTTTGGTTGCTATTGAGCTCGTTCCACTTACTTAGAAATGGTTTATAGCTGATGACCAAGGTGATAGCTGGTAGCACCATGTGCTGGTGGGAGGTATCACTGCTGCAGAGGATGCTGCTGAGAGATACTTGTGAGCAACATCCAAGACAACTTCTTGGATGCCGGACTTTAATGATCTGTAGCAGCAACATCCCAGTATAGGACCTGATCAACTAATCTGGGGCTACTATTATTGTAGCATAATAATAGCCTATTAAGGGCTACTATTAGCCCTTAATTAACTGTTTATAACTGAATCTCCATGTAATGCTTTTAATATATCCAGCCTGTGCATAGCCTACTCTGTGCTTTTGGTGTTTGTGCTGGCCTCTAGCTCAGCCGATGTTTTTGTCACCTTTTTTAGATGTTCCCAATCTTTAACTCTGGAGCGTTGGCCTGCCTTAGCTTCCTTGTCTCACTTGGGCCATTCCCCTCAGTATCCCTTGCCTGATCTGCTGCAGGTGGGTGGCACTGGTTGCTTCCCTTGGCCAAGTCTGGCAACCTTGAGGGAGGCCAAAGGAGAGGCTGTCGTTAAATTTAAGCAGGGCTGAACCCCCCAACCCAAGTGTCCAAGCATGCGCACAGCAGGAAAGCTTGGGAGTTACAGCATGTGGTGTGCTTAATCCCAGCCGTAGGATTAAGATGAACTTTTCTGACTGGAAAAAGAGTCTGTGATCAAACCAGAGTACCTAGTGTTAAAAACTAGAAACTTACTTAAGGGGAAAAAGCTGGTTTTGCCTCATTGCAAGCTAGAACTCGTGGCTCTGTTCCTTGCTGACATAAGGCAGTGGGGACTAGTGCAGCGTGGATGAGGCTGAGGATCACGTTTGCTATGGGAAGTGCTGGCACTGAGCTCTACAGGTTGGATGAGGAGTTGCAAGGCTGCATGCGTTGCATGGCTATGCAGGGGCATGCGAGGGTAGGGCCCTGCTGCTCACCCAGCTCCTGGCTCCAAACAAGGGGGAATTTTGATCTTGAACAGAGGCTAGCTACTACCAGGCACGTGCCTCCTTGCCCATTGAAGACGCAGCATCTTTTGGCTGCTGCTGTGTTTCTGCAGGTGCTCATCGCCTATAGTTTGGGAAAGACATTTCACGTGCTCTTGCACTGGCAGGTCTTGGGTCTCCCCTAGGCCATTTCCTGGACTTTCTGTAAAAACAGCCAGTGATTACTGATCTTTATCAGTTCACCTAAATCACTTTGCATCCATATAATTTTGGCAAAAAAATGTGGTACGAGGAGAGAGAAGACATCTCCTAACACCTATCTAAAATGAATCCATGGCTGAGCATTTCTGAACCCATCCAGTGCTGTATGGAAAGCTGCTTTACTGGCTTTTTGCCAAGATAGCTTTGTGGCTGCCCGCAGGATTCCCAGGTAAACCCCAGCCTTCCTCGCTTGGACTGCGGACCCAGCAGGAGTTGAGATGGCCGACGCACCGAAAGAGGCAACAAATGCTATTGGCTTGGAAGAAATCTGTACAGCAAGACAAGATCCCCCAAAAGGTGGGTTTGTAATGGCAGGACCAGAGATTTTTGGGGTCAGTTCACTTCAGATGGGGTCGAGGGAGGGTCCCAGACTCCCAGTGTGCCTGTTACCTGCAACCTCAGTACATGGCACCAGCTCCATACACTTCCTCTCTTGTCACAGCTACCAGACTAGCAGCTGCTGTCTATGGCTGCAGGAAGAGCTGGCTGCCCTGGGTTTTCTCACTCCTCCATTATGTGTTAATGTTTTATTCTACCAGAAATCAAAGGATTCTCTCATTTTGGATCATTTATTTTTAGGGAAAAAAAAATATATTCTATCTCAAAAGGATTTTAAAATGAAAAAAAAATTGTAGAAAAGCATCAAAACAGCAAGTTCTGAATTGGCAGAAAAAAAAATTTCCTCTGAAACTCTTCAGCAAGTTCAGTTCAATTTCACAAATAATGTTGATTGGTTTGAACTGACTTAGCTCCGAGATAAATGGGCTGACAGAAAAATTTACTCAGCTCTGACTTTACTTAAATAAGAGCTAAAAAGTATTCATACACAGACAGCTTTCTACCGGGTCTATTTATAAAGCTGTTCCTGCCCTAGTCTTGAGCTGTATTGTGTTGACTCCTGAAATGGGGAAACAAAGTCGGCAATGAGCTCCCAGGAGACGAGGCTGAGCCTGGAGCCCCCGACGGTGTCCATCAGCTGCGGCTGTAAACCTTGCAGGGGTGGCAGGGCTGAGATGCCTGGCTCCCGCCGTGCCAGCCTGGACTCTTCCCCCGGCCAGCGCGGAGGGGGACCAAGTGCGAGGCAGTTTGGGCAGGGGAAGGGAGCAGATAGTTGCCCAGAGACACGGCTCATCACCTCAGCCACAGGTTTCTGAAACCCCCACGGTCGCTCAGGACAAGGCTAGGAAG